ATTTACGACTGATAGTTCTCTGTCCCTTCACCACCAATTATCCCTGAGCTTGTTGTTATTCATTTTACTTTGCCTTTAAGAAGGATATGTCTTAATATGCCTTAAAGAGGGATTATTAGAAACCAGCATAATTGTTCTATCTTTTGGAACAGCCCAGAGTGTGCCTTTAAATTATGTCTACGTAGGTAGCTGGCCAGATTTTAGAACAGAGCCAGTCTCTTTGTAAGTGAAAGAACTGCGACCCACCAGTATGTTTCAGTGATGCGTGAACAGGAGCGCCACTGTGCTGGTTAGTCAGCCAGTGCGAGATGTAGAGAGGCCAATAAACCGAGCTCGGTCCTCTGACAGTTTGCGCTGTGGCCCACTTTGAGCAGTGCCATGGTTTTAGGGGCCAGTTTGAGCCGTCGTCTCAGCTGGCTGAAAGAACAACATTGTCCAGAGAAACACGGTGAACATAAAATGGTTCAGAGGGCCACAATGAAAAGTTTGTCTATTTAACCATAGGGGGGAAAGCATTCTGCACTATAGGCCACCATTGAAATCTAAACAAATCTGACATTGACTGTATTTCCATGTCAGCTTTGGGAAATGCAGCAGAAATTGTAATGAATAGTTTGCATTAAATAATAATAAAACAATGACAATAGAAGAGTTTAAAAGACTTTAGCGACTCTGACTAAAGAACGGCACTGCACATTTTTAACTTTACACAGGCTATTGTGTCATCGGCATATTTAAACGACTGTCTCTTACAGTTTTACATTCAAGTATTTGCACACATCTACATCATCAATAATAAGGTAGAAGCCTTACCTTTTTATCGGCTTTCTTGGCCAACTTCAAACCCAAAGGTTTCGATTGTATGAGCTAGACACTCACTAAAATCCCTAAGCAGCAGTTCAGCTGCAGTACTGTTGTTTGAATTGGCAGTCTACGTCCTCCAGAGTCTTAAACTATGCTTGGGTTTCTTATTATGCAACAAAACTGGCCGGAGGTGACGTGCCGTTAGCAACCACTGTTTCTCCTCCTGGTCCAGAACGCATGCAGCTGTCCTCCATGTTCTGTACTGAAAACACCAGGGTGTTTCCACACTTCATCAGCATGTCAGGGCTCGCTCAAGATTTACTTTCCATCTCACCTCTCGCACAGAGCATTACGAGCACTTGTAAACATGAACCATGACCTGTTCGTTCTCAACTAACATTACTTTTGATCGTTAAATCCTCTTCATAGCTTTGAATAAAGGATCTCCACATAATGGACCAATTCATAAAGATTCTCCTTCACAGAGAATTCCTGGCAGCTTTGCCTGTGCTGACTCACAGTTTCCTGTAACTAACTAATCTGAGCTGTCAAAAGATTTTTATGTTTTGTTAAAGTGGTTGAATTGCCTTTAGATAAACACTGCCTACATATGGCTCCATTTACAGTAAGTCAGGTCTAAACAGAAAGAAAAAAAGACAAGGTAAAATGCAATACCTGTTTGTCGGCAGTCAAACACATGTCCATCTCTCGGTCTGAGCGACTGAGGACCTGACAGATCATTCATGGGCTGCGGGGGTTGGGCTTACCGGATTCAGAGGCTGCCAAAGCCACAAGACCATGTCCTCAGCATCTTGCTATGCATGACCGGCTAAGCCAAGAAGGAAAATGTTAACTACATCTGGGAACACCGTGAGACAGTCAATAAAAAAATATGATGTAAGCACAGATGAAGCTTATAAAAGCATGTGCATGAAGCAGGGCAGGGTGAGGTTTACTGGAAGTTCTGGAAATCTTGATGAATACTATAAGAAAGATTTAAAAACCTAAAGAGTATGCGATTATAATGGTTATGTTTTCAAACAACATTTCTATTCATATTTTTTATTTATCATCCTTATTTATGAATTTAAATGCAAAATAAATCTCAAAGCTTAAGAATAATTTTGGTTTCACTACGTGAGTAGTTTGAAAATGTCTTTGGATAATAGTAATGTATGATATGGAAACTTTTTTGATAATATTTATTGGTAACTTACAGTAAGGTTCCATTTGTCAGCAGTTAACTACATCATTTAACATGAACTAACAATGAGAAATACTTCTAAAACATGATTAATTTTAACATTTACTAATACATTATTAAAATCAAAGGTTGTATCTGTTATTATTTAATGGACTTGAGCTAACATGAACTAACAATAAACGGCTGTATTGTTATTATCTAACATTAATCAAGATTAATAAATACTGTAACAAATGTATTGCTCGTTATTAGTTAATGCATTAACTTATATGAACTTATTGTAAATGGTTACTTATTTTTATTATTATTATTAAATACTGGCAATTAGACAAGAAATTAGGAGGGAATTTTTGAATGTATTGTGAATGTAGAATATAACAGAGAATCATTTAGATTTTAAGTGTTCTAATAATATTTACAGTAAATGATATGATTGTATAATTAAAGTTTATAGAGAGTGAGAAGCTTCAGGAATAATACATGTAAATTAAATTACAAGTAACGCGAGTTACGTAATCAGATTACTTTTTTCAAGTAACTAGTAAAGTAACGCATTACTTTTTAATTAACAAGAAAATATCTGAGTTACTTTTTCAAAAAAGTAATGCCAGTTACTTTTTTTTTCCCCATTTATTGATTGAAAGCTCTCCTGTCCCCTTGTTGAGAGAAATCGGGAGTAAGATGTTACTTTAGTTCTAGAATAAATGTGAACATGCATTAATTCAACTCGCTCACTTACAAAAAAAAAAGCAGATTTAGTTTTCCTCAAAATTAATAAAAACAGTTAAAAGCAACTCAGAAACTGTAAAAGTTTGCAAAAACGCTACGGAAAAAAAAACTGTTAATAGGTTAACAGTAAGTTCCCACACTATATACAGGGAAAAAGTGTAAAAGATCTAACCAGACATTTCATGTAATTTTACAGTAAAATGCTGTCAGTATGTTAAAGGTACAAAACAGATTTTAATAGCAGTGTGCGTTGTTGAATTTACTGGTTTACATTCAAATGTTCTTGTTTTTTTCAAATCAGTTTTATACTGTACAATTTACAGTTTTTGGCCGTAAATGTGTTTACAGTTTTTCTGTATTTTTTACAAAATTATTCTGGCAACCACCGCTGCCAAAATTATTTTGTAAAAACTACAGAATTTTTTTTAACAGTGCAGCCCAGATTTAAAAAGTAACGCAAAAGTAACGTAACGCATTACTTTCAATAAAAAGTAACTAAGTAACGTAATTCGTTACTTTTTTTTAGGAAGTAACGCAATATTGTAATGCATTACTTTTAAAAGTAACTTTCCCCAACACTGCATGTAAAACACATAGCAAGGACGTGATTAAAAAAGTGAAAAATTGAAAACTCTTAAATACAATTACAAGACCTAAAACATAATATTTATGTAGATTTGAAACTATAATCTTGACTATCAACAAGTTTCATTTTGACAGAACTACTTATAACCTAAGACTCATCTATGAATCATGCAATGATTCACAAACTTTTTCCATTTTTTTTTTTGGAGTGTAATACATTAAATGACCAAAGGAGGTGCCATGAATCCTCCTTTATTTCAGTGTATAGGAGGAGCAGTTCAAGTATTTCAGCAGAAGCAACAAGGAGACACGGGCAAGTTTGTTATTGAATTACATGTTTCTACCATTATTGTTCAGAAACAATATGCACTTCATTAAACATGCTGACATGTGTGTTGTCACTCTAGGGTATATTGTCAGAGTGGAACGTGGAAAAAATGCAGAGGAGAAGGAAATCAACTTGTACACTTCAAGGGGAGCAGTAAAGGTGGTGGAAATGCAGTGATGTACCCCTCTGTTCATCACGGAGCAGTTTCTCATTCCTGCTTGCAGTTTTCATCTATATTTTCCAAACTGATCCTATGGCTTCTCCTGCAATATTTAAGCGATATATATAAATTATTGAACACTCTCAGAAAAAAAGCTACAAAAGCTGTCACTGGGGCGTTACCTTTTCAAAAGGTACACTTTTGTACCTTTTGGGTATTAATATGTACACTGTTAGGTACTTAATATGTATCTTTAAGGCACCAATATGAACTGTTTTTTGAAAAAGTACCGCCCCAGTGACAGCTTTTGTAGCTTTTGTTCTGAGAGTGAATGAATCATACAGCTTAATCAAAATAACTTGAGAACGCTACTGAAGCATTATAAAGAAGGCTTACTGTATGTAGACTATAGATGTGTCAGACCATCAGGTCAAACTATTGTTAAGAATTACTGACATCCAATATCACCATTGTACTCCTGTGCAAATCCCAGGAGAAAGTTCCTTCAATTAGGCTACTTAGTACAGGTTTTCTGTTCAAGGCATGTAATCTAGTAATATATATATATATAAATATATATATGTATGTATATATATAAATGTAAGGTTGGGGCAAGTTGTCACGTGTGTTTTAAAGATTGTAATTTCTTCTCAAATCAGTGTCAACAAACAGCAAGTATACTGCTACCTAACCACACTGTATAGCCTATATGACAACATTGCAGGCTATTGGATCAATGTGTGTTAAATAAACTTTTCCTTGGCAATAACAGTGTAGATGTTTTAAACTAAACATGACTTTTAAAAATAACTGACCACACTGAGAAATTATTACCACAGTTGAAGCCCCATGCAGACGCCCTACTAATATAATGGCTTATGTGTATTGTCTTTGCTGTGTTACCAAGCGTTCAGGTAAGTTGACTTTCATGAGAGCTTTTTGCTTGGGGGCTGATATGGTACTTTGTAATTTATCATCAAGGTGGAAAGCACTGGATGTTTTATCTTACCGGGTTGCCAGATTTCTTTAAAATCGAAAAGATCAAAATACAACGTTTCACCATGTCAGGCGAATTCATATTTTTAGGGAAAAAATATATTTTAACAATCAAATAAAGAAATGAAGTATATAATGTATTAAAGCCCGAACCGATCGCCTTATAGCTGTGACAGGCGGAATATTTGGCAACCCGGCAGAGAGTCCAGTAGAAGTGAGAGCGAGCACGTAGAGACATGAACACAAAGCCGATCTCAGGAAATGTTGTTTGGGTTTAGGAAACACATCCCTGCGACGTTTAAGAAAACCGATTTATCACAATGTCGAGGCATCCTGTAGTCCCGTTCGGGGTGTTTTATGCATTACTGTTCGCAGGGGTCATTGGTTTTGGTGAGTATTGCTGAAGCCTCTCGTGCTAACTAACGGTGGCACATCGTTGTGTTGTATCGATGCATCAGTTTATCCGTCCTATCGTGTGTATCCACAAGATATGAAGCATGCGTTTATGTAACATTAAAATAAATGACATTCTAAATAGTGCATTGTTCTAAAATCGCTCCTTTTGTATTATTTAAATACGTATAGTTTCTGATAGCAGGCCTGTTTGGGTTCCCAGGCACGATTATGGAAATCCTGGAAATAGCACGTTTTACAATTATGATTTCCCTGCCTGGAAATTACTGAAATATTTTTTTATTTTTTAGTAGAGAATATGCTATTATATTAATAGGCTATTTTATCGTCTAGTCTGTTTTTGAGTTCAATCTAAACATATTTAAATTTCAAATCCCTTGGGATTCAAACTAGTTCACATTTGGCTGATTAAACGCACGTATTTAGAGCACTCGTATAGGGCCCACTGTAGCAGCGAGCCTGTAAGTTTGTATAGGTGTAGGCCTGTGGGCTAACAGTTCAAGTTCCTCTTCATTTCTGCTGCTGTTGTTTTCAGGCACGAGAGAGCCAAAGATCCGAGGAGCTTGATTTGTATGTAACAAAAATGTTCTTTCTCCTCTTTTGCGCAGAAACAAAGACTGTATTATTTACTGTGTCGAGGCACTTTATGTTAAAAGTTAAATTAAGCGTTAAAGGGGAAGCTTTACTAACAGGAAAAACGAGGGTTTACATAACCAATATTGCTCTGATAATATCTACCAAAAATGATCACGGTACTACAGCGTCTTTGGGTGGCATGTGCTTTGTTTTACTAAATACCGTAATCTATAAAAATGGTAATCATTAAATACCAGTGAATATAAAAATAATTGAATTAGCGCCACAACGTTTTTACAAAAGTACTTTACAAAAGACATATGTTTCTGCCTAAAGATTCACATATAATGTGAAAGAAATACAATAAAGAGATAAAATGAGTTTTTTAAATGTGTTTGAGCCAGCCAAAACACTAATTAAAACATTATTTCTTAACGTTACCTGTATATTAGCTTCAACTACAAAAACAAAAGTGCAGTTATGTGAGACAACCACTGCTCAAAATGACTTGACAATACACTTAAATTATCGTTATATATATTAGTTAATATTTTATTATTATTATTGTTGTTATTATTTATATAATTTGCATTGCCTCATAAAATATTTGAGGCACAAAGTTGTTGTTGTTTTTTTTATCCCCCAAATACTTATTTGGTTCATGGCTTAATGTTTTTTATTCTGTAGTTTTTTTTCTTCTTCTCCAAAATCTCTTTAGACAGAGTATTTGTTAAACAAGATGGCTGGTGAAGTGGATGTCAGTGTTGCTCTCTTTCTGTAGTCCATCAGCATGCCAATCGATTTATGAGCGTCTGCAAGAGAGAAATAGAGCTGTATATCATTTATCATCAGAAGTGGAGTCAATGTTGATTATCACGTTTGTTACTATGTACAGTAAAACATATTTTAAGTATGTTTACATGTACACAAGTTAGTGTTTTTTTTTTTGTAATGAATAATCAAAGGCAGGTAGTTTTATATGCCACTAACTTTATGCCTAACATATCTGTACACCATATAGGCTACATTCAAATATATGTATATGATAAAAATCTTAGTATTTCTATTTATTTCTGTGTCTGAATATAGAATGATCTGTTAAACGTTATAATGTAACAATGATGTTTTACCTGCAGGATCTTGCTTTTCTCTTGCTCTAATGGCAGATCATCACATTAGATTCCCACTCACTTTAGGTTTGACTTTAGCAGATATCATATCTTTATTGAAGTCATTAGTATCAGTTTGCAGTTTGTCTCTATAATGAATGAATGAATGTTTAGGTCTAGAATTCTAATTCTTGTTCATATGGTTTCCTTCTGTGTTTGCGTGTTAAACCTTCTCTCATTTCTCTTTTGCTCTTTCGCTTCCTGTTGTTCATTTGATTGCTTACATTTCCCTTCTCTATTCTTGTTGCGTTCAGCCAGTCACACACTGAAATGATTTGGTCAGGTTGAGTTGTTTATTTAAAGTACAGTATGGGTTCTAGAACATGATGCGTAGCCTTTGGTTTTATTTTCACACTTTTGTCTCAGTAAAACCACAGTTAGGTCTGTTCTGAGCGGGTGTGAAAACGTCACTGATCACACGTGGTTACAGTTGCAAATCAGTGTGGCCTTAAACCTTGTTTGTCAGTGTTCGTGGAGGTGTTACTCTGTCACTCTCGGGTTGAAATCAAAATAAGAATCAAGCAAAACAAACAGCAAACAAAGCAATGGCCTCCAGTGGATTATTGCTATTATAAAACCCCTGCACCCAGGACAGGCACGACAGAGCCCTGATCAAAAGACAATAATGGAGAGTAACAAAATAAAATGAGACAAATGAGCAAAGTTTGCGTGATCTCAGTTCTGTGGCATGGCTATATATTCTTATATACTCTCACATCTAAACTAAACTGCTAGTAAGCACTCTGTTAGCAGCACTAACTACTTCTTACGAGCAAAAAATTATTTTTGCTTTCTAAATTTCACTTCTCCACAACAAAGTGTGCTCAAACATATTTGCAAGTCTTTGATTTTGTATTTTTTTTAAAAGGTTGATTTTCTGTGGAGCCCCTAAAGGGACATTTGCAAAAATAAAAAATACACAGACTTTCGCATGCGCACCAGAAATCTTCGCGTGAGCACGAGAAACTTTTTTTTTCAGTTTCCAGTTGCGTCACTTCTGCCATCTTGCAACGACGAAAACAAGAGCATGGATGCACATGAATTAATTGAGATCTATTTTAAACTTGTGCTATTTTAAGCTTCTGCTTGTTCTTAAAGGCTGAATAATTCCAAATGAACTCCACTAATTTGACAGGAAAACACAACAAAGAATATCATTTACATGTAGTGCATCAATTCTACGTAGTAAGACCGTCTTGCTCTCCCTCTCTTTGCCTGTGTGAAAGAAACACTTAGCGCTCTCAGCTACGTTTACGGAGTTTACAGTGTGTCAAACACGCCGTGCATCCATTGAGATGAATTAAAATAGTGCACTTTAAAAATGGAGAGCGAAACTCTCAAGCGTGCAGTTTTCAAAATGAGCGAAGGCAAATATCTGTGTTAAAATTATAGCTAGCTTCTAACTCAAACACTGGCGAATGAAATCTAAAGGTGCGTCCCAAATCGCATACTTATGCACTAGGGCTGTGCGATATTGAAGAAAAATGCGATATGCGATAACTCATTAAATAATGCGATATTCGATATGCGATACGATAATGCTTAAAGTGCCACATGCTCAGATGAAACAGTTTTACTCAGCTGTTGCTGAGTCAGTTCTGTGAACTTCTATAACTATCTTGTCATATATATGTGGTTACTTGTATGTATGTATCAAGAGCTCCTGTAAAACCACAACAAATTCCTTGTGTTTGCGCACACTTAAGTGGTGAATAAAGCTCATTCTGATTCTGATTCT